GATCCATCATAATCCCATTTTTAGTCATAACGTGACTAAGAAATGCTACTTGCTCAAGCCGTAATGCACACTTTTTAAATTTAGCATACAATTTGTGCTCTCGTAGTGTTTGTAGTACCTCTCTTAAGTGCTCCTTATGCTCCTCGTGACTTTTAGAATATATCAAGATATCATCGATAAACACAATGATGAACATATCCAAATATTCATGAAATACTCGGTTTATTAAATCTATGAATACAACAAGAGAGTTGTTTATCCCGAATGGCATCACTAAATATTCATAATGCCCATATCGAGTTCTAAATGTCGTCTTCTTGATATCTTTCTCCTTAATCCTCAATTGGTGATATCCCGATTGGATGCCAATTTTAGAGAACACCAAACTTTCCCTTAATTAATCAAACAAATCGTGAATCCACGAAGCGGATACTTATTCTTAACGAGTAACTCGGTTCAAATCTCTATAATCGATGCATAATCGTAGTGACATGTCTTTCTTTTTCACAAAGAGTACCGTGGCTCGCATGGTGAGCAAACTTGGTCGAATATAACCTTTATTCAATAACTCCTGTATTTGTTTTTTAAGCTCCTATAGTTTTGTTGGAGCCATCCGATAAGGTGCCTTAGATATCGATACTCGTTCTCGGCTCCAATTCAATCTCAAAATCGATCTCCCTTTTAGGTGATAGTCCCAACATACTCTCGAAAAAAACATCCGAGAACTCTTTAACTATTTCAATATCTTTAGAACATGAGTAAAAAAAGACTTATTATGCACATATAAGTGTTTCACACCTACATACACATGCACATGCATTACATGTATAAGTTAACTTACCGAGCTATAGCTCATTGATGTGTTTGTAGTGTAGCCAATACAGGTAAGGATGGTCTTCATCACTTTTGAGCCGACTATCGAGGAGTCAATCCGATGCGTATACATTAGCTACGGTTAGCGTATGGATTTTGTACACATTTAGCTCTCTCTATTCTAGTTATTTTAGCTTACTTTATAACCATGATTGTGTTCTCGTTATGCGTTACGTAAAGCGATGGTACAAGTAGATTAAAAAAGAATAAGGAACCATATGTAAATAGTAAATAAGTCGTTTTTGTAATAGGTAGCAATGGACTAATTAAACTAATGTTGTATGTAAATATCTACTTGTATGTAAGTAAAATACTATTAGTGAACTAATGTAGTACTAGTTACACGCAAGTAAAATACTATTAGTGAACTAGTGTAGTACTAGTTTAAATTAATTATTAGCACAAGTAATATCATTAAATGATATGACTTTATAATTAAATTAATGGGAAATGAATAAAATAATAATCAAAGGAAAAAGGTGATGGATAAATTATGACCAAATAAATTTGTATAACTAAACGGAAATGAATTTAAGAAAGACAACTACCACAATTTTGAAGGGTTTGATTCAACGAACATAAATAAGAATATAATACGCAAAAAATTCTTATAGGACATTTGGGATTAGATGTAGGATCTAACTATAATTAAGGAACTTCCGTGGCATAGGTGTATCATCTAGATTTATAGATAGGTCATAGTGCCTTGGTAATTTACGTTCATTGCAGTCCGAATGTAAATTATCGACGATAATAGTCTCAACCTATTAGGTCCTAGGTTGGGGGTGTTATAGTATTAGATTCTTAAAAATAGTGTAAGCAATTGAAGCAAAGTCATAGATGTTTCGTATCATACTAAAGTTGCTTTATTCATCAAAATCAAAGGGATATAAATATTATCATCAATAATAGAAAAATTAAACAAAGATAAAAAGAAGATACAGCTCTCGAACATGTAAATATCCATCGATCCCATGTGTGTCATAACGGAAAATGCCACTCCAGTAGGATGTGCAAGGATCACCCTTATTCCAATTACCGAGTTGCTTCATAGGATCAATCAAATTTTTTTGACTCGCTATCAATGCATCAACCGTGTCGCTACCCGACGTCGGACGGACTCCTCAAAATAAAAAAGAATATAGATAGATACAGCCTCTCAATGTATCGATTTTTATTTGCGAACTATTTGCGAGCTTGGAGTCGCCACCTAGTATTGAAGGAACTAGGAACCTAAAATTTGGCACTAGTTCAGAAATTCTATGGTAAGGAGTCGGTTACGCTTATGGGAAGATAATTAATCACCCAAAAGTGCCATTTCTTGAGAAAGGTACCACGTCTAGCTTAGTCCCAAATTATCTCCTAAAGTATTTTATTTTTGCCAAATTATTTTTTCTTTTTGAGACTCCAATTTTTCAAGTCAAATTAAGTTTTTTATTTTGGAGTGTGGCATCGTATTGAAACGATCGTCGGACCCCTTCCGTCGGGAGACACGTCGGCTCAAACATCGGATCCACTTTTTAGTCTCGACACAACCGGTGTGTCGGAGAACACTTGTTTATTAGAAAACTGTTTTAACTAACAACAATCCCTATCGGATAGGAGACTTTGTTAAAAAGTTTTATGACTTTTTTTTTTGTTATTTTTCTTTCTTTATTTTTATTATTATATTTTTTTATTTTTTTTATTTATTTCTTTTTAAGAAGGGTTGTCATCAGTCCCTAAAACTTAGGAGACTTGACAATCTTCTACTTATTACATACCGAATCTAATTACTAAACAAATAAATTAAAGCCACATGAATTAAATAAAAGAAATCAAATACCGAAATTTAAATTAGTAACAGTGCATGCATAAAATAAATTCCAGATTAAAAATTACATTAATTAAAATAATGATTAAAAAATTCAATAGCTAATTTTAATACGAAATAACAAAATCCCTATAAAAAAATTCACTCTTTTTTCTTACTCTTTTTTTTTTTTTTTTTGGGGTTTGGGCTGGACTCGTCCAACTCTACCCAAAATTTCGGACTGGTCTGGACGAGTCCAAATTTCGACCAAGTGAGTTTGGGCTCACTTAAAATAAAAAAACTAAGTTTATTTTTTTGGCCCAAAAACATAACCCAAATGAGGATTTAACATGTTTTTAGATCAAAAGTCTCATTTCATTTTTTTCCCTTTCTCTCTTGCCCGTCTTCTTCCTTCTCTCTTTCTCCTTTCTTTTTCTTTTTCTATTTGGTTCGGGTCTGCCATGGATGAACCGGAACGGGTTCGTCCATGCTTCCCCCTTTTTTTTCTTTTCCCTTCTTTTTCTTCCTTTCTTTCTTATTCTTCTTCTTCCCTCTTTTCTCTCCCTTTCGATTTTTTTGGATTCGCCATGGACGAACCAATGGAGGTTCATCCATGGCTACTTAATTTTTCCCTTTTCTTTCTTTCTCTTCTCCTTCCTTTCCTTCTTTTCCTTACTCAATCAAAAAAACCAAATCAATTTCGTTTTCAAAAAACTCAAGAACCCTAAACCGAGTTGAAATCAATTCAGCTTCAATTTGGGGTTTAAGCCCCAAATTGAAACTCCAATTGAGTTTAATTCATCCTTACCAACCCTTATTTCAAGTCAATTTCAAAAATCCCCAAAATTCAGGACTAACCTAAATCAACAAACAAAAGAAATCCGAATTCAAAGTAAAATTGGATTGATTACCTAAAAGGATGGAGCTGAATGTGGATTGATGCTTCAAGAGGTAACTTTTGTTTCTCCTTTTTTGGATTTTTACTATTGCTCAGTTTTTGTTCTTGCTGTTTTTGCTTTCAATTTCGGGCTCTTAATTTTTATGGACTTCCCGCCCTCTTTTTTCGGATCGAAATCCCCCTCCCTCTTGTTTTTTTTGTCATTGTCCGTGTATGTATATATATATGTGAATGTGGCTTGGTTGGTTCCCCCACTATGATGGTGGGGGATTTTCTATAGGTTTGTCAAATGAGGGGGTTGGATGGGATTGTTTTTTTTGGTGTGTTGTGGCAGTGGTGAAACTACCGGAAGTAGGGAAGTCGTGGGGTGATGTCGCAGAAATTGCGGTAGCGAGGGTGGCCGCTGGTGGGTGGTAATTGCAGGACAAATCGAGGTCGTGCAGGGAGGCTAGCAAATGGGGGTGCTGCCATTGTTGACGGGAGTTTGTGGGATAAGGTGGTGCTGCAGAAATTGCGAGTAGTAGGAGTGATGTCGCAGAAATTACAATAACAGGGGTGGCTGTCTTGGATCCTATTCTCTTCTAGGTTCCGTCCCCTTTTGCAGAGGGTGAGGTTGAGGGCTTTAAAGGAGGCCGGCGATTGCTGCCAGCTTGCAGCCTTACAGGAATCGGGGGAAGTTAGGTGAGGTCGCAGGAATTGGGGAAGTTGTCTAGAGGTGGGGGCGACTGCTATTGTTGACTTGGGAGGAGTGGGGCGACTGCAAGCTGCAATTTGCAGCATGGTAAGGTCTGCGAAATTGTTGACTTGGAGGGGTCATGGCTGCAAGCCGCAATTTGCGGGGACGGAGGATTGCGGTGGATGGGGGATTCGGGAATTGCGGATTGCAGGAATTGCATAAGAGGGGTTTTTGGCTCGGGTAGAAAACAGATTTAGGGAATTGTCCAGATGTAGCTAGGAAATGTTGGGAAATTGTAAAGGGAATGAAGGGAACTCGTCCCCGCATCTCTTCTCTCGTTTTTTTTTTTTTTGTATTTTTCCATTTTTACTTTTTGGTAATTTTGTTCTGAATTCTAAATAACTAAATGAAAAATATATATATATTTTTTGTTTTGCTTTTACAAAAAACAAAAATGAATAATAAAGAAAACTAAAAAGAAAAATGAGTAAAATTTTAGTGGTATGACAAACTGCAAAAAGGTAGGGAATCGAGAACATCGGAGAAGAAAAGTTGCCAAATTCTTCCCGGATTGCACCAAAATCGTCATTTTTTTTTAACTTACATCACAAGAAGATATTTAACAAACTGTAAGATGTTTTGTTACCAGGATAACTAAAACAAGTGTACTTTGGTACCAGGATAACTAAAACAAAACATGTTTGAAGAGTAATTTTCATATTTAGCACGAAATTTCTATCATTTTTGTACTCCTACTATATACGATCATCACATCATAAATCCAATAGCTAGTTGACGATGATTAGATATTTAGATTAAATATTTGAAATCTGAAATTCATTAAGTAGTATTTAGCCTCTTAAGAAGAGACAATCCCCAAAAAATATTGTTCCTTCGATTATCAACTTGCAACTTGTCAACAAGTGCTAGGCCTAAGCACCTTGCATAGTTCAAGCACGACCCTTTCATGTCCAACTAGCCCAATTAACAAAATGGACGCAAGAACTTCAAGTGCTATCGACCCATAGCCTCTTCCAACAGAAGACATTTAGAAGCACACTAGTCACTTGCCCACGCTAAGCTCGTGGATTCTATTAAAAAAATCATTTAAAAATTTTTTAATTAAAATTTTTTATTCACTTAATCTTTTTAATTTTTTAAATTTTTTTCTTAAAAAACATAAATCATTCTACTTTATGAATTGATTTTAAAATACAAAATATAATAATTTTAAATAAAATATTAATCAAGAATTAAAAAAACTTTTAAAATATAATTCTCATAATATTGTATTTAAAAAAATAAATTTATAATTAATGGATAGACTTTTACAAAAATTAACAAATGAGAAAAAAATTCTTATTTAATATTGACGAGAAGATAATTTTTAAAATTATTTGTGCAACGCCACGAGTAGATAGAACAAAATCGTTTTAAAATTTTAAAATTTTTTCATTAATTTTTTATTTAATTATTATAATTTTTTTCATAAAATTTCTGCTTAAAAAAACATGATTTATTCTTTTTTATTCAAGAATTCTTAAATTAAAACTTATAATAATTTAAACATTAAATATTAATTAAGAATTCAAAACCAAATACTTTAAAACTACATATTTTTTATAATAATGTATCAAAAAATAAAGTTACAATTAATATATAGATTTGCATAAAAATTAACGAATGAAAAAATAAAATTTTATTTTTATTTACTATTGGTGAGAAGATTATTTTTTTTTCAAGTATATGCATTAGATCTATGTATATTTATTTACAAAATAATAAATAGAATTAGCATAAAAATTGTATTTGAATAATTAGTTGGTTCCTTTAAAACATTATTTTAATTGTTTTATTTCAAATAAATTGATTCTATAATGTTAAAAAAATATTCATGCTAAATATTTTGTATTAGGTTGGAAGATATATAGTTAATTTTAAATAAAATCAATGGTTCATTAGTTTTTTTATACATCTTGACCATATCTACGTGAATTAAGACAAATTATTTGAAATACACTATTAACCTTTTAAAATAAAATAATTATATATTTATATATACGCAAATATCATTTAAAAATTGTAAAAATTCATGATATATATTATAACAATTTATTTTTTAAAGAGAAAAAAAATCAAGTTTTAAAATTTTATTCTAAAATTCAAATATAGAGAAAAATAAATTATATTTATCAGTAAATAAAATCTTATATAAAAAATATTAATTGGATGAGAATTTTCATAAGAAATGATAAATTCAAAGAATGAAATTTAAATTATAAGAGTAATATAAGCTGAAATATATGTTAATTTTAAAATATAAAAAGATAGTATATATATGAAAACCCATAATAAACAAATTTTAATAAAAAATTTAGAAAAAAAAACATCATATTTTTTTCATTATATTGCATCAAATAAATAAAGCAACAATTAACATAAAAACTTCTATGAAAATTAATAAACGAAACTTTTTTACCGATGAGAAGATTGTTTTTTTAAATATATACATTTGATTTATATATATTTATTTACAAAATAATAAATACTATTAGTATACAAATTTGTATTTGAATTATTAGGCAATTATTCTAAAATATTATTTCAATTATTTTATTTAAAAAAATCATTTTAAATATTAAAAAAATAATAGTAAATAGTTGGTATTATGTGTGTAGATGCATAGTTGCTTTCTAATAAAATCAATAACTCTAATATTATTATTTTTTATACATCATGACCATACTCAATAGGTGAGAATGTATAAAATAAACTGAAAAATATTTTTTTAAAAATTAAATAGTAAAATATATATTGAAGTTAATAGAGTGCATTAAAAACTATAAAACTCGATTTCGATAAAATTTGATTATATAAAAAATAAGAAAATAAAATACACATATTCAATTTTTTTAAATTTGATTATATAAGAATTAAACAAATTTAATTGTAAATAACCAAAACAACACTTTTTTAGCATCACAATACAATCAAATAATTTAGATTTTCAAAGGGTACATTTCGTATTTATAAAAAGAAATCAACAAATATTTTAATAAGACAATATAGTTCAACCAGGAACAATGGACTGTTATAGTTTTTGGAAAAAGAAAGGGTTAAGTTATAATAATGTTAAAAGTAAAGACTGGATAGATATCATCAAAGAAAAGAAAAGAGTAGAATCTTTCTTGTGGTCACAATCTGCCATCCACACAGCCTATTGTTGTGTCCAGGTTCACTCTGTACGGCTAGCTTCTGTATAAAACAGTTCCTATAAGTAGCGTGGCTGCTAACCATTACTCAGCATATAAACAACAAGGATTAGTAATTTAGTATAGATAGGTGCAATGGTGCATAGATCAAGTGTCTCCTAGAGTTCCCTTGAACACTTCACTGGGACTCTTCAGACCCAAAGAGTATTGTCATTCCCACTGAAGTGTTTGGGGGAACTCCTGGTGTCATTTGATGTTAATAATTATTTCATGACAACCTCAGCGAACAAGAAATTCTGTCATCAGGTCATCATGCTGAATTCTCTTCTTCCTATTTTCCTTGTTATCCAATCTCCTTTCCTAGTAAGCTAGCCTGTGGATATAATATCTACAGAAGAAACCTCCTCCGTAAGATTATGGCCTACTTTTGCTATTCATTTGCACCATTTAAGGAGATTCCTATCTAGTACAAAAATTTGATAAATTTTTATCGTGCAACATATGCATTAAGCACCATCCATCACAGAAACTGCTAATAGAACTTTAGCATGTAGAATTTATATGCTTAAAACCCAGGAAATGGTGAACTGGTCAGAGTTACTGAAGTTGCTGGTACACATGTCTGTGAATTGTGAATTCGTCCTTTAACAGCACTGATATGTTAGTAATTATTGATTTTATTCAATGTTGTTCTTTCTTTTCCCAAAATCATGTAAATGTGCCAGCCTAAAAATTGAATTGGATATCCTAATGATTAATGAATATAATGCTGGAAAAGGCTCGTTGCACCATTTTGAGAGATTGGTTTATAAACCTAGAGAAAAGAGGATTAGTTGTTCCAACAGAAAAAGCAGAAGGGCAGCTGAATTTCTTTGGTTTGTTATTTGACTGTGCTTTTAAATTGAGTTGTACCGTTTGCATGTTTTTAACTTGTGTTTTATTCAAACACAGGCATGTGTTGGCTATGTGTGTAAGCCTTTAGATTTAGCTCTATACCTTGGCTACCTGTCTGCCCTTAACAGACTTTCCGCTGAAGCCAGGCAAATTTAAAACAGGAAGGCTGATCCTAATTGTGTTTTCTGTCAGAGAGCTATTTAAGATCGGAATCGCTTGTTTTTTTCTTGTCCTGAGGTAAAAGACAATTGGAGTTCTATTTAATTTGCAGCTTTGCAATTGTCACAGATCAGTGGGTGATTGGGAGTCTGAGTTTGATTATGCTAAGAAATTTTTGCAGAAAAAGTGCATCACATCTATTGTGATGAGACTTGGTTGGTGTAGCTTTATTTACTTTGTGTGGCAGGAGAGAAATAGGAGGATTCATGGGAACAATTAATTGTTGTTAGTGCTGCTGAAGTTGTAAAAAAGTAATTCAACCTGTGCAGTTGAGAAATTGTAATACTGAACTTTTAACCATCTGGATTTTGATATAAAGTCACTAACAGCGAAAAATATCTGAATGTTTATTTTTCTGTTTTGGTTACGACGAAGAGGCTCAAATCCGAGACCTCCCAAGGGGAGAGTGGTAAAGGTGTGCCATTGATCCATAAGGCAGAGTGGCTTTTCTATTCTTAAATATGACTACATTCATCTCAAATTCTGCAATTCTTGTTTTTCAAGTCTGAATAAGTAACTTGGAGGAATGCCTGGTTTCTGTTATCACATTAGGACTCTCATGCTCTACCAGATCACCTGGGAAACGGATGGCGATGAACTTTGTTGTGAACAAATTACACGGCATTGGAGATTCATTCTTTAGATCCATTAACAGGAGAAGTAAGAAGGTTGCAGTAGATGTTAGATGAACATGGTGCGAACTCATTGCCTAGGTATATGGACTGTTAGCTTAATTATTATGAAGTCAAAAGCTCACGTCGCGAAGATTCTGAGATGTT